AATCTCAGTTTGTGATAACCATGCTTATTGCTTCTTGGGAATAAACGCTGTGAGCTGGTTGTAGATACAGGGAGAAAAAAGCTAAGACTACATGAAGGTTTAGTAAAGATACAGATCTTACTTGGGGGGCTTGAGCCAAAGTAATGTTCACATGAGAAACCCAACTTCCAACATTGCTAGAATACTGGCCATGAGCTTACAGAAGAGAAACACACACTGAAATGAAAGTGGCATTAAAAAAAAATTTGTCATCTACATCTTACCATCTAGTACAAAAGGCAAGAGAGAGACACAGCTTCTTCAGGAAGCTGTGACTCTAGTCATTTCAATAATCAACACTTTTTTTTTTTTTAATGTTAATGTTACAGGTTTGTATCTACACAAATAAGCAGTCAAGCCACAGTGTTTTAGGTTGCCATTGTAGGTGTTGATTCTTGCATTTATTTCAGTACTGCCATCTTTAGCAGTTTTACACCTCTATTTTCATTTCATTTAAATCACAGGCTGCTGGTACTCTGCTATTTTGCATCCCACATGCCAAAACTTGCTTCTTCTGCTGAATTCAATTCTTTAGACGAGTCAGAAATCTGGTCCTTGGTTCTGTTTCGTTGTGCTGATGTGCCCTCTCAAGGAGAAATACTCTGTCTTTTCTTCAGTCCAGCAAAAAAACCACAAACAGACCCCAACCTCGTTTCTTCTTTGGCCATCACTAAATTACTTCTACAATGGGCAATTTAAAGGCTGAAGCAAATTCTGCTGAAGTGTTCACAGTAGATTAAGGGGTAACTCAGGGCTGTGAAATGGCATTTAAAACTCTCTTCTGTTAGATATTGACCTCACTGCAGTGATAACTAATCCTCACTGCACTCACAAAGAGAACTTTGCTCCTGCACTGTTTTAACATTTCTACAGGTAGTCACTCACATTATTTTTCCAGCTCAGGTTTTCTAACTGTTTGGATTTGTCATTGATTAATTCCAATGGCATCCAGGTCCTTTCAGCTGTACTGCCAGAGCCCTTTGTGTCTCCTGAATCAGAGCACAGTCCATCAAACTTCCTGGGTGTTTAATTACGAAAAAGATCAAGGGAGTCAGTAATAGGTCATTTGTGAGAAAATGCATTTTCATTGTTTGGCTGGCTGAGAAACTAATAAAACAAACATAAAAATCACACATCTATACAGAGAGCAAAGTCCCTTTTCTTACTGAATCATTGCTACTTGACACACCTGGATACCTGAAACAAACCTGATTTCCTTATTTGCTGTGCATTTCCTCCTTCAAGCATACGCATCAGTCGACATTGTAGAGCTGCTTAGGAACGCTGAGAAACTGACGTGCATTTTGACTCATTATAGACACCAGACATGAGTCAAATCATTATTAATTATCCTTTGGGTGACTGAGACTAAGAGACATGACAAATACAAGCAAGTGTCTAAGACATGCCCTTACACTCGTGAATAACGACCTTCCAAAACACGTGGCAGAGTAACTGATTATCAGAAGCATGTTTTCAAAGGGTTAAGTACCACGAGGAGAGTCAGGGCTTCTCGACCCCATGGCATCCTTATACACCACAACCAACCAAGACGCCAGGCAGCTCATCAGCCTTACAGCAACAGGTTAGAAACACCAGAGGAAGCTCATCATTATACTCCAAATTTCAGGTTTAACAGTAACAGCTGTCAGTAAGCTTGCACAGAATCGTGTGGAACATAGTACTGCACACCCGTAACACTAGCTAGACAAGTATTTCATAGACTGAAGATTACCAATCAGTTTTTAGTCACTCAGCTGCTTCCATTTACTCATTTGTTTGCATATGCCTTTTTGTTCCCTAACTAAAAAAAGTCCCCATCATCTGGTAAACTTGTTTGGGACAGAGGAAGACTCTTCCCAGAACGGTGTTTATGTATAAGTTAAGGACATCTCAATCTAACAGCCAAACATTAAATGAGGATCAGTGTCATGTGAAGGGATCATGTTTCTTTCTTGGAAGATGGGTATACTATTTGTAGCTGTTTGTCACTTTAAACTGAAAGAGCAAATGACAGCAGCTTTATGAATGGCGTGTGTTTAGACATTATAGAAGATGGACTCTTTTTCTCAAAGCATTTTAATAACACTGTATTAAAACTGACGGTGACTAGCAGTGCTGTGGGAGTTAGCCATTTATTTTAGGAATATATACCAGTCTCCAAGTTGAGCAGCAGGGAGTGGAATCTGAAAGACTCTGCACCTACATTCTTACTCTTTGCCAAGTAAAATGTACCTCAGTGTTTGCACCTAAGTTTAAATACTACTCCCCACTACACTTTGTCAATACCTGCTGTTTCTAAACAACCTTCCCCTCCTTTGAGTGTTTAGTGAGCCTCAACAGAATTAGGGCTCCTGAATTATTATAGACACTATATAAATTATTAGAAGAACAAAGCTCAGGGGAGCTTGCAGACTTACTTTTGAGTACAGGCTCATACCACACTTGTGGGCAATTTACATATGATACAGTTCATGATTTTACAGGACAACGAGGGAACTTCATTCCATACTTTCCTCCACAGATCTACTGAGATCAATTATTTCAACAAGTTCTCCCAAGTACAGCCTTTGTTCAAATGAAAAAGCAGTGAGATTTAGACTGTCATAATCATTAACTACCAGTATCAGTATATAGTACCTGTCCTAAAACACTCTAGCCAGACAGTGTCAAAAACAGATATTCTCCTCAAATATCCAGTTACAGGGCATTCTCACATTCAAAAGAAAAAAAGAAGAAAAAAAATAAGAGCATTTTATGCTGCAGTAGAGTAGCTGATTTTGCTTTAATACAAAAAGTATAAAAATGATAACTTCGGTGCTTTAAATCAGTTCCATGACTAAGTCATAAAATTAATCCTGGAAAATGAAGTCCCAGAGCATGCCTGTGTTCCCTTATTGGAGACATATACAGTGGCTGTAGCAGTAACTTATCACGAGTGTCAGCTGACTGGTGGGATGCACATTATCCATTTCTGATATAAGCAATTTTTATGCATTATCTAGCAGTGAAGATGTCTTCCTCCAAGGCAACATGTGCTGTGTGCTCTGTCCTTCTCCTCACTTGGAAGGATAAATCTGGCATATTTAACATCTGTATTTGGATGCTGACCCTGACAATAACTCTGTCCCAGTCTGCTGGTGAAGATGTGGACAGAATGGTGTAGTCAGTGTACTGGCTCTACTATAATTGATCCACTGGAAGTAAGTTTTGTAGGCAAAAGAAAAAAACCTTTGAAGTTCATTGCTAATCTTCCTTTGCTCCCTTTAAGCACATTGTTGCCTAGTGGCATTTTTGTTGGGCCATCAAGTAGTTACTTGTATTCCAGCTGCTCATGCAAGTTATCTTAAAAGAAGTTGGTATATCTAAATAAGAAATAAGGACATAGGCAGGCTTAAGCATAAAGACGACATCTGTAAGAACTTAGTACTAACTTTGCACCTCAACCTCTACAAGGTCACCTTCTGATTACAGGAATAGCTAAAACCAATGAACTATCACAAAAGGAAGTATTTCCTTCTGTACATGATTTTTATTATTTACATAATACAATATAGCATAGATGCTGCGTAGCATGATTATGTGCAATACATAAATATGAACTATCTGTACATGTTTGCATATCTAATAACTCAGAAGAACAAAGAAGCAAAAACCTGATGCTTTTAATAGTGAAGTAAAAACTAAGACTGAACACTGCAATAAAAATCAGAAGTTCAGGAGTAGCGCCTTGTGTACATACGTAACTATTTACAGATGAGAACAGGCATTACCACAATACTAGTCTAAACTGTACTTGTTTATATAAAAAACACAAGTTTCATACATCACAAAAAACCCTTCCATTATAACACAGAAGTGATATTACCAGACAAGCATCAGTGAAGTATACTGCCTTTTCTAGAGTTGTTATTGTACAATGCTGTAGATAATGCAGCCCATGCAATACACCCAACACTACAGTCCTACACCCAAGTACAATTAAAAATGATAAAGCAGCCCTCCAAGAGTGGTTCCAGATACCACTTAAGTCTACAGCAGCCATGTTGGGTATGGTTTTCCATGCAGAACAGTGCAACTGTTACATTTAAAACTAGAAAAAATTAACTCCTAATATTCTTTTGAACTCAGAACACACAGAATGTAAGTAGTATATGAATAATAAACTGCTCTAATATTTCAGCAACTTACTCATCGGACGTGTTGCTTGATAGAGCTGCTGTGGTATGTCTAAAAACATGTGTAACTTTTTTTTTTTTGTAAACCAATCTTGCAATATTGTGGTACAAAACATTTTTAGCTATGCAAGGAAAAGCAGACAACTCTGTTGCAGGCCAGCTCTTAAGTTCCTGGCAGGACATTTCCTTTGGGAACCTATTTTCATGATTCTAAAGTTAATGTAATCTTTTCCAAAACAGTTTTCTTCTCATTTGCATCTGATTTTTTCCATTTTTCTCAGGGCAACTGATAAGTAACTTTCTTAAATATGGCACCAACACTCATCTTACTGGGATGGTGGACTGCTCCACATAGCTTACATTCTGCTGGAAAACAATGGAGTGTGGAAACTAAAATTAGAATGAGATTTTAAATGATAGAAGTAGACTGCCAACCTTTTTGATGTATCCTTCTCCAAAACAGGCACATAACACTAGCCAAAGATTATATACCTCAAACACATCTCAAAAGGCAGATCTGCTGCCAACATGCAGATAGCATACATCTGTTTGGCACATGTGAACTAGACAGTCTGTCCTCTGTGCATGTGTATTCCTGTGCAGGTTTCTGATCATCCGATTATATTCTGGGGAGGGCATATATATTTTCAAGGGCTGTATCTATCCAATTCTGCCTGTAACAAACACCCAAACGTTCTGAAATATCATTAAGACAGAAAAGACTAAAAGTAAAACTTTGGAGAACAAAGGAATATGGCCATGCACCTGCTCTTTCATGTTTTCCTAGGATATATAAAAACTGGATTCTTTCCTGATTTTTGCTGCAGCTTCTGCTTTGTAATCATACGGGCAGTTATGCTTGTCAGAATAACGGTGAAGTCCACAAAATAAGTTTCCACATCGGCAGTCAAATCCTGTACATAAAGAAAAACCCAACATCACTAGGAAGCTTCATATTTAATTAAGCTGTAAATTAAGGGCTTAGTCACTACAAAGGGGGTATGTTTGTCGACTCTAACATACAGAGGAAGAAAAATGAAGAGCTGTACTAAGTTGTTTGGATTCTGAAGCAGCAAACAAGTTTAGTGGTACAGATATTTCATCAAGTTTAATCTAGCAAGAGGCAACTAATCATACAGATCTGTTCAGAAGTGACAAAGTGTTCTCATACCTGTAAGGCCAACCTTCTTTCTGCACATGAAACATCTGTTCTTCTTTGGTTTGGGCAGTTCCGGAGCTCTCTCTTCATTTTGTGAAGTGCTAGGCTGAGAAACTGATGGGCTTGGTTGAGTAACAACTGTTAAAGCAAGCAAAGGAAATAAAGGTTAAATTTCCTTTTCTTGACTTCACTAGCTATTCAGAAGCACACATGTATTTATTAAGGATTAATTCCCCCTACTAAGTCCCTGATGTTTGTTTTCTGAACTACTACATAGACTAGTCTACAAAAATGTAAATCAGGAATAGGGATTTTCAGGTACTCTATTCTCCCCTTTTGGCTCTACACAAGACAATCAGATTTTCCCCATGGTTCCACCAGCTAGAAAATGTAAGGCACTTATTCATTACACCTATACAGGTGTACAGAGGTGATAAAGACGTGGAAAGCACTCCAGAAGTTCCATGTACACATTTAATATTTTAAGAAAATTGTATGATCAAGTAACATTTAATCTAAAACAATAGCAATATTGTCACAGCTAAAGTTGCTGAACAGAGGGGATACCTGTAGAGAATATAACTAATAGGAACAGATTTTAGAAACAAATGAAATTCAGTAATGTGTTACTATCATAGTACTGGGTTAATCTGCCACTATGCTTGTGAAGTCAGATGCCCAAAACAGTTCAGCAAGACAGCAGCCAGCAAGCCACTAATTCTGTGACAGATCCAGAACACAGCTACAAAACACAGACCACTCAGACGAGCCCTCATATTTTTGGCACTTTCAGTAATTTAAAGAACAAAGTGCAGATTTACATTGAACACCTGTATTTTTGTACTGTATTCAGCTTTAGTGTTCAAGCAGGTATAGTCAAAATGAGTCATTTTTCAATTGCCTCTGTCATGAACACCTTCAGACAAACTTGAGTCACCTTTTACTTAAGTTCTCTGAGGGATAAAAATTTGTCCTTTTGTGAACTTTTGTGAATCTGTTCATTTTGTTTAAAGAAAGTGGTTTTTTCCAATCAAACTTTTTAACACCTGCTTCTGGTACAGTTCTCCTGAACATTCCCAGGTGTATGATGACATCTATTGTTCTAAAGTAGAACAAACTACAAAATGCATTCCAGAATACATGGAGTATATAAGCTTTAAGGACTTATTTGTAATCAACTTTATGCACACAAATAGCATTTGTTAGTTGAGATTCTTTTGGATCAGTGAGTTTTGCATCCTATGAAGTCAATTTTTTCCAGACATGAAGAAACAATTGACTGTTTTTCTATCTTTACTCTCTATACTTGTCTTTTAAAATTGCATTTGCATTACCGTGTCCATAGGTATTCTAAAAACCAGCTCACTACTACCACTAACACCTAGAAAGCCTCACAATTCACTGTACAACAAGACAACCCCCAGTCAGGACTTCATAATCTTCACAAGATTTAAAAGTTCTTCAACAGTTCTTCAAAAGTCTTCACAAGCTCTCAGAGGTAACGAGGAATCTTCAGTACTTATCACCAAAAAATTTCATGCAGTAAAACAATGGTTGCTAATACTTTCTTATACTTTACTTATACATTATAGCAACAGTCCTAGTAACTAAGGCCATTTACTACCTTTATTTTTTGTCACCTTGCATAGGTCTTTTTCTAAAAAAAATTTGGAAGTACAGTGGCAGCGCTATTTTGCCAAGTCTGATGGATAAGAAAACTATTACAGCACTAGCACTACAATCACTGCTGCTACTGGTTCTTTTTGGAGCAATTTCTGCTGCTGCTGCTTTCTTTTTTTTTGAGAAAACAATTTCTTTGTCTTGATGATTAACATTTTCTAGGTGAACAGATACGATCCTCTGAACTTGTCTTTAATACCAAAGAAAGCAGTGTTTGGTATCAGTTAATCTATTTGAGAACCTGTGACAAAAAACAGGTTAAAAACCAGCGATATCGCAAACAGTGCAAACCTGTTGGATACTATGCACCTTCGCTAACAGCCATCAGCTATGGCCTTAAAAAAAATGACTAAATACCTCCCAAAAAGCATGGTCAAACACCTTTTACATTTTTTTATATTGCTAAGTTGTTTAAAAATGAAATGCTAATTGTAAGCCATGGCAGATGAAAAAGAGGAACCAGAAATGCTCACATACTTTGCTATTTGGTGTGTAGCTAGCCAGGGGGAAGCTTCATCTGCATCAGAACCAACTTACAAATAGGAGCCCTAGGAGCATGCATGCTGTTTCAATCAGATGCAAAAGAAAATGCAGAAGGGGCAAACCAACTGTGACCTAAATAATTAAAGTCACTCACAACATGCACTAAGAGAAAATGAAAACAAGAAGAGGAGCAAGCTTTATTGCTGCCTAACATGTGAACAAGGAAGCAAAAATGGAATCGGCAACTTCCTGGGAATCACCAAGGCAAAGAGAGAGCCTAGTAGATCACTCTACCACAAAAGAAAGACACTAAGAACAAGTCTATCTAAGGGAAAATGTTACCAACTACAACAGGTATATTTCCTCCACTGCATGAAGAAACTGTGACAACTGGCAGCCCAGGAACTGGAAAGCAATGGAAGTCACCCTAAGAAACTGTAGAGGCACGTTTCCTGAAAGGGCTGCTGAACAGGATCCTTCCCCACAACTAAAGCATGTTCCAAGAATGAAAAGCAGTACACAACATGCAGTAATGGGCACTAAAAGGTCCCAAGACAAGATGGGACATAGGCCCCTAAATCCAAACTGAAATGTTCAATTTGTTATTCTCCATGAATAAAGGATTCTCCTATTTTTTTATGCCAGCAGAGTTAAGTCTGATGATGAGTTTTTATCATGCTAAACCTTCATAAATGTGCTTCTGGAGTAATGGCTAGGACAGAGGCAAAGCTGCCTACCCGGCCCCTTACTTAAAGCTCAGAACAAAAAATCCTTTTTCATCAACCTGTGGCTCAGATGAAAAATACTGTAAATTGTAGTTGTTCCACCATGACATCAGGAGCAATATAATTTCATCAGATACTATCCTGACAACTGCTTGTCACAAAAGGCTTACTTTAGCACAGAAGCCAAATCCAACCAGGCAAGTACAATTCCAGTCCTCAATATATTAAATTCATTTTATGCCAGAAATCACACAGTGTTAATCATCAGGCAAAGTGCTCTAAATGATTGCTGCATGATCACCGTGGAATGAATAACTGAACAAATGCTGAAAGTTGGAAAATAGTGCTTACTGGTACCTGTAGATCTGCTTCCTCAGTAGATGAAGCAAACCCCTCACCACTAAAACAGGTTTTATTCCTTTAACAGAGCTCCTGTTGGCATGTACCCCTCTCCATCACTGTGGTCATTTCCCTTCCCAACCTTTGGCTCAAGAAGTTACCTGATCAGATTTACTTCACTTGAATTTTACTGGACCAATTCTCCTATTACAAGGCTGAAAACCTTAGGAGCAACAGATTTTCAGAACTGGGTGGGCCTTTATTAATTATTACTTTGGTCTTAAATTATTACCTGTAGACACTGTAAGATGCATTACCATCATGCACAAAGAAGACTATCACTGATCTGCTAGGATAATAAAGACTAACATAATCCTAGTATTGGAGAGGTGCCTGACAAAAACCCCACAAAAATACAGGCATTGCATCAGGAATTTGGGAAAATTTCCTCCACGTGTGGTCTGAAGGCAAGATGCATCTTTACAAAACACATGTGGGAATAGCAAGGCCGCTGATGAGAGAAGTTAGCCACATGCCACAGCATGATAACTACTCAACCTATACACAGAAAGGTCCTACCAACTGGAGAGCAAAGCTCTTCTCAGACCCCAAAGTATTAAGCCACAGTGACTATATGGGACTGCCACTCAAAATTAAAAACTGCTCTAAGAACAGAAGTTTCAAAACTGACAGTAGTTTTCCTTATACAAACCAGTATGGTTGCTACAAAAGAGCATGCCTACCACAGGTATTTTCCCACTGAGATGTCACACTAGAAAGGAATGAATCCAATGTTTCAGTTGAACAAAACCTGATGAAAATAAAGCAGTATTACTTTTTAACCCTCCCCATATCAAAAGTGACCAGAAAGGGTCACAGAAAGTAACACCAAGAAGTTTTAAGAAGCTTCTCTGACAAAACAAAAATTAACCAAAGTAAGATCCCAATAGCTTAAACTGCATGACTTTCATGGTACTAGTAAGTGGTAAGCATACCAGTGGAGCAAAGTCTTGAAAACACAAAAAAAAACCCTGATTTAAGCATTCTGACTCAATGAAGCTAGCCCCCAACTCCCACCATGGAAGAACTGGAAAAATTAAAACAAGAGAGAAAAAAGGTAAAGCCAAAAGTCATCAGAAAGACATTAGACTGCACTTCCGCAGTACTGGAGCAGTAAAGCTGTAGTGGAGATTGTGCAACCCTTATATTGCGTATTAACACAAATGGACTTGTATATAAAATTTTAGTCTGAAAAGATGGACAGTACTTATTATGCTGTATCAAGCTTCCTGAGTGTAAATACTTTATTCTTCAGGAACTACAATTGCTATGCCAACCCAGGTGCCTATGACAAAAGGCTTCAGAATAAACTTCCATCATGTTTAATTTCATGCCAAAGAAAGGGAACAAAAATGTTCTGCAGCATGCAATTAATCTCCTGCACGCCAAACTCTAACGGGTGTATTGAGTATCTTTACTGTTACATTAATACAGTGCAAAGAAATCCCAGTTTCAGTATCACACAGAAATATGGTCACCATGAAGACCTGATGTCTGTGCTATACAGCTGTTAAAATAATAATAGCATCCTATCACCAACAAGCACAAGACCAACAGTTGGGTCCCCAGTCTTATTTTACAAAAGGGGGAGTTGTTATATCAGACAATTTTACCAACAGCCACAAAGGAATTGTCTACAGATAGCAACATGGTTAAAATACTATAGCCATGTGTGAAAACAAATGAGAATTAACAAGGCACTCATTACAAGAAGATCTAAGGAATATCACGTAGTTACCATCTTGAGCCTACCATATCTCATAAGTTAGCTGTCTACTTGGCATCTTACTCACAGTATTACCTGCAACACACTGTACACATCACAGATAAACCACACTGGTTCTATCTACAACGTAAGTGAGGGTAACCCATAACAGCGTCTCAACCTGAATGCAGGACAGCTGTAAAATAACTCTAATCATATTGGCTTGGTAGAAAGCCAAGAGACAAGTGAGCCAACCACCATTGCCTGCTGTCTTCTGAAGCTGATTAATTCAGAACAGAAAGGGTAAGCCACAACACAGAATTATACAGTAAGCTAACAGTATTTGGGTATTTTTTTAAATAAGTAGTTTACACAAGACCATAATGAGTTCAATTTCTGGTTCACTTTCTTTATAAGCAGTGCTACTCTGCAGCTGTGGCTTCACAAAATGATAGCTAATCACACTACTCCCTAAAACAGAGCTATTACTGTGTTTAAAAAAAAAAAAATAAAAAAACAAACCAAAACAAAAAAAAACCCCAAGCCTCTGACACACATGCTGGTACTAATTATGTCTGGAAACACTGACAGACCTGACTGGAGGCTCATCATTCAGCAAGGTAATGACCTACAAAGGCGCAAGAAAATGCTAAAAATAAGCTGTAACTTGAAATAATATGATTGTCTAAATATACTTGTTTTCAAAACAGTCATTTTTAGTGGTTACTATGTAACTCAATTCTCTTTCTTGTATGGATCTTTCATTTCCATTTGAATACCTGCTTAAAAAAAAAAATGTTTCTTAAGGAACGGCTCCACTATGCCTCACCAATTTGGTAGATATGTTGCTCTGATAGCATAACACAAGGAAAGGAAAGGAGTTCACTACGTTTTGCATTTAATTCCTGCAACTCAGCATGGCAAAAAAAGCAACTATGAATCATATTTCTAGAATGCTTTGGGTATAGTCTGATTTCAGTCAAGACTATTAGAATTCAATCCTTAATAAGAAGTGTAAAAGCTTACAAAAATCCTATAAAAAGTATTTTGTAAATAGTGCCCACTTATGAATTTGAGTTTGGACATAAAGGCCTTTAGATTTCTCTGACTTAGGAGCAGTTCAGACACACAACTGCACTGAACACATGCCCCTCTTCAATTATAAAATTGCAACAAACAAGCTGAATTAAGAAATTACAAGTTAAAAGAAAACATAGCATATTAGACATGGGAATTACAACCAACTAGGTCAGGTACCTCCATCATGCCTTTCTTCCTTCAAATGTTAAGGTACAATTAACTGTCTTAACACCGGATTTGTTCTGAATGATAATTCAGGTTGCAACCTCAACCTGTGTGAAGGAAAAAACCCAAAACAACCACCACAAAAAAAAAAAAAATTCTAGAAAAATAAGCTTGTTAAGCTCCATTGTTTCATTGTTCTCAACTTCACCTTCTCAAGGCAGTTGCTTCTATTCCAACAGCAAACAAGTATAATTTTATGCTACAGACTGCTAAAAAAATAATCAGTTGACCAGATGTAATTCTACTCTTAGCTTTCTGGCTTGTAAGGGAAATATCCAAAATTTCATTTACGAATGACAATCTGGCAGAAGAGAATGCGACTTCATACTGTTGAAGACATTCAAAGGAGAGCAAGCTACTTTGCTTGAAGGCTACATTGTTTGTTCATGATCTGTTACTATCCAATAGATGGCTATGAAATTCAGTTGCTAGGGTCAGACTGTGCTTACAACTAGACTGTATTCATTAGCAACTCCATGACTGTGGCATTATCTTAGAAAATTACACCTCATAAAAATTACTAGCTTTGTTGTTAGGAGCTGATGTGAATTATTTACCGTTGTTTCAGTTCCTCCTTGGGAGGAGAGATCAACACATATTGGATGCTGCTGGAAAAAGGAAGAGAAGTGCAACTAGTCCAGACATGACAGGGATTTTTTTATAAGAAGTCTAGGCCACCTTCTCTCGCCTGTAAGACAGATCAATGTACCACTGAATACAGCCAACATTTTGTGTATTTTAGATGTCCAACAGACCCTAAGAAGAGTATGTGAAGACACTAACCTATGCTGTCTACAACCTGTGCCAAACCGTAACACTTAAAAGGGAACTCAGGCATTACAGCAGCTGAGACTGCCATGAGTCAGCAGGAATCTCAACATTTTGATTTCAAAACTGAACACCTTGCCCAAATGCAATTCTAGAGTGCCTTAGTTTTAAAAACAAAGGTTTGGGAGCCAAAACCACCCTCACAGGTGTCAATTTTTTTACTATCATTGAACATGCATCTTAAAACTCTACTGTGGCACTAGTCCTTTTTCTTGATTCTGACGAGACAGCACTCAGAAAGCAGCCTCAACAACCATCTTAACAGTTCCTCAAGACCATCACCACAACAGGAGAAGCCTGCTTAGAAAGTAAACAAACCATCAGCTTCCGTTAAGCCACCAGTTGTAACCCATGTTACTCTGCAAACATACCTGGCTCAGTCTCTGTTTTTGGTGTTACTTTTTCCTCTCTTGAAATGCTCATTTCTGTCATTTGCTGCGTTACAGGCAAAGCAGCAACAGGCACATTTCTGTTTAAGTACAGTGAAACAGATAATTTACGTTAGTTTTGCATTCATAATAGAAGTTTAAACTGTCCAGACCCATTAACAAACTCCCTGTTCAATTACTACTGATACTCCTGACCTCTGCTTCTACTATCTTCAAAACACATTTTTACTCTATTTTAATTTCCCTAGAAGAAAACAGGCAAACCTGTAGCAATATTTCTCCAGATAAATCAAAAACGTCCTTTGAAATGTAGCAGTCCAACACCAAATATTTTAATCAGTTCTCGTTTACACGCATTCATAAAGCGCTGTCAGGTAGATTGTCCCTTTTTGCTCTGCAGAAACTCACTGCAATAGGGGAGGACTGCTGCAGGCCTTCAACTTGCTGCATGCTCACAGCTCATTCAAACCTCAAAGTAATACCTTTGTCTTACCTTGATTTTTCAGATGTGCTGCCAGCAGCACCTTCACAGTTGTTTAAGCTAGTGTCTGCTCTCTGTACAGATGCAGAGTCTGAGGTAGGACTGTTTGAACCACTGGCTGTTCCTATATAACAAGAATTTGACAAGTTAGTTACAAACAAATTGTAGAATATATGTTCGTCAGAGTCTCGTACACAGCTATGCACTGTCTGCATACAATCTTCACTGCTACTGCATATTACTTCTTACTTAAAGACAGGCTATATCATTAACAACCAAAATACAGAGTTTGTTAAGAATATGGTAACAGAGGAGGCTAAGTGGGAAAGCAAGTTATGGCTGAATGCTGAGCAGACCAGAACACATTACACAGAAATGTATTTTTATCTTTACTGTGATTTAAAGTAGTATTCACTTTCATATTCATTGTTTTAGTACACAGCTTTCAGAAGTTCTCACAAAAAAATGTTCTGGGATTCCTTGTCATCTTCTATATGTTTTATTTTATTAGAAGTAAAAAAAAAAACCAACAAAAAAACAACCCCCTCTCTTACCCATTGGGCTGATTCTACCACTATTCTGCTGCCGCTGAAGATGCTCTTTGTAGCAAACAGAACACATCCCATTTGTCCTAGGATTTCCATAAAACCCACATCCTGTACTACACAGCATGGGCCCTGGGGTCTGGTTTGTCTCCTGAGTCATCTCGATGCTGTAAATAAAACAAAGAACTGCATTAGGAGCTGGCATGTCACCAAAATCAATTACAGGGTTATAGAATTAAAGTATGTCTGCTCACCCTGCCCCCGAAAGTGATATCAGCATTCTTAAAGAGGGTATATGGATGTTAATATACCATTCAACACTGCAACTGTATTGCTAAATAACATTGTTATGAACCTTTAAGAGAAGAAAAAGTGTCATCATACTAATACTGAGAAATAATGTACTTGTTGAGGACTGAGCTGCATGTGCAGGTTATTACCAAATTCAATTTGACAGCCAAAAACCCCTTTATTACCAATCTCTGAGCACTAACAGGGATATGCAGAATAAGCAAGACCAAGTTCATATCTACTAAACAGTTCTGGCAAATAACATAGCTTATTTTTTCCCCGACTCCAGCAGAAGAGCCCCACTTTTTCAGTAATGTTGATCTTGCATCATTTGATGCTAACTCCACTATTAGCAGTTCCTACTCTCACAATACATTTGTCAAACAGAACAATAAAAATAAGTATTGACAGCAGCCATTTAAAGTCCGTATTCCTATCTTTAGAAGGAGCTTCCAAAACAAGGCCGTGAAGACTGCTTATTGTGTATGAAACCTGATACTAACTGGCAACAGCACGTGTACAACGGGCCCTTCAACCAAGAATCTGAAAAGCATTTCTGAAATAAGTTTAGACCGGGTCTTACACTTCCAAGAGAAATAAAATTAACAACTTCAAACTGTTGAATACATTCTATGACACAGCCTACACATTCAAAAAACAAAAAAAAAAAGCCAGTTAAATCCTTTGTCTTAATAAAGTTATGGCAAGACTTCTGAGCCTCCCAAAGGCTGACAATGCTAACTCTCTGCCATGAACTGCAGAAGTTAGGAATAAAAATATTTCACCTTCACTGCTGGTTAACCTCTGCAAAGCAAGGTTAGTAGAAAAACTGAACAGCAACCAAATCCTTTTTGCCCTTGGGAATCAAAACTGGAACACAGTAATCAAGCAAGCAATCTGCTACAAATTGAGGACACACAAGAATATCACACTTGTCCTCCCAAAACTTAAATTTAGTAGAAGCACTTGTACATGGCATCTGGAGACATTTTAGTGTAATCTCTAGATTGCGGTCTTCCTATTCAGGAACAGTCACAGCAAGAGATATTTGACTGCTGATGCTTGTGAGAAGTCAAGAACACTGAAAGTGAATTCAATACAGTATATAGAGAAATACTTCTTTAATTAAGAAATCCCCCACGGCAAGTAGAAAACCTACGTTCCACTAGTTTGACAACTGCAACTGACAGCTGCCTTTGTCTAGTTAAACTGAATTTGTAGGATCAAAGTACACCAAGAGCAGGAGAAAGTAAACCAGCAAAATTCATCTCCTTGCCTGCTGGTGGTCACAGGACCTCATTTTCCAGGTATAAATAGCTGTCTTATTTATGCCTTTATAATACCTTCCAGCTATAAATAGTTTCCTTTCAGGACTACAAAACAGCCTCACGCTTACCCTGATACAGTTTTACAGCCATACGCACCAGTCAAGGGAGTCAGAAGAAACCACGACCCACCTAGAGGAATCCAAAAAATTCCTGTCACCTATATGGTAGGCCTAGGCCTGTACCGTACAAATAAAGACCGTACTTCTGCCCTTCCGTTACGCGGGCGAGCTCAAAGCGCTGCCAAGCACACGGCCACCGCCGACCTCAACTGAGGCGCTCCTCTTCCAAGTTTCGCCACTCGCTACGTCTGGCTGTAGGTGCTGATGATAACGCTAGCACCAACCTACCGCAAACCAGAGCCTCCGCCGCTCCTCTGTCAGCACATTCCTCCGCGACTTGACACGCACGCCCCGAACGGAAAGGTCACACCGGGAGCCACCCGTGCTTCTCTTAAAATCGCCTCACGGCCAGCAGGAAGCCAGCTGCCACGCA